TTCTCGGAGTATTCGTGACAGGGAACGGACAGCTGGCTCTCCACTATAAGTCACTTCACGGATCTTCATCTCCGGGAGTCAAAACAATTGTCTTTCGAAGCAGTGGTATTCAGGTCAGTCTAGTCTGCTTTCCTGTGGAGTTCTGATAAAGGGGGCTGGCGTATTCAAGTGCAACTTGGCCGTGAAGCTGACTTTGGCACCAGTGTGCATTCGACTAGAGGGGGGGAGGTCAACGGAGGAGAGCGGCAGCATTCCTGTAAGAAGGGAACAGCTTTCAAAGGAAGAGAACGGTCGTATGTCGGTCGGACATTATTTTTTATCAAATGGGACGTTGAAAACTTCAAACTTGTGCAGCTGGAAATGACAGATAGGTTCTCGTCTTTCATCTGCGGACCTTGTAGTTTAACCACACGCCCACATTTGTTATGTGGCTCTCCTCCCACTTATGTAGGTGGTATTGTCCTAAATTTCATGAGGGGTACATACTGCCATGTCGTAATCCTAATTCAAATCACAACTGTGGCTCTAATCTGAACCATACTCTCAACCACTTAACCCTTATTCCCCTCGAGGTGCTCGCATTCTCGTATCCTACCGTGGGCAGATGGCACATTAATAATTCCTATCCATATCCAGGTGCCCAAATCTCCCTCCTTCACAATGCCAGTTGTGCGTCTGTCATTCCACAGACCAACCAGTTTGCAGACGTGCTCGGTTCCCGTACTTCCTTTTGCATTCTATTTGTCAATTCAACTTCCTCGTTAGGGGGTTTTGCAGATTTGCTTAATTCAGTTAACTCAGTTGTGAAAAATTCGCGGCCTCGGTGGGAGTCGAACCCACATAACAAGGCAGGTTTTTGCGCAGTCAACGCACCACTATTGAACTACGAGACTCACCGTGCGTCGTGAATTTAATCATGCTTGGATCGATTTTACCCGCCCAACTTACTGCTCCTCTAGGATCCACACATACAGAACAGCAAGCTGACTGCCAAGGCAAGATTTCTTAAGCGGTCAATCTAGAATCCACCAGAATGACAGCAAGAGTCACTTAGTTGTTAGGAGAGCTTTGCAGATTTGCTTAATTCAGTTGACACAATTCTCTTGCTTGACAGCAGGATGGCTTCAACCACACATGTTTTTTATTACATTTTTGCCACGGTGTCTCATTTATGTGCGCATCCTTTTAGGGGAGTGCAGCGAACGTAGTTTTTATTTCCCGCTCTTCTCATGTTTTCACCCCCCGCCCTTCTCCACCTCCACTGTTCTCCTTTAAAGCTGGCTGGCGACGGAATTTCCCAGTCTCCTGTCTTGGCGTGAGACAGACTCCCTCCCAGGTGGCGCTTTTGAGGTGGTGAACAGGGACGCCGTCAGCTTGCCCACAGTCGCCCCTGAGAAAGTCCTCAACGCTCACGAGGAG